TTTGTATGTGCTCTCACCTACAACTCATACTTTCACTTATATATTTGATCACATTTGTGATTATGTAATTGTGTAATAGTTTCTTTTAGCTTTCTCTGCTATCATGCAGGCTTATTCCAAGAGGACAAGTATGTTTATATATTGCTCACCTTTGTATCTATAGGATATAGGAGAGTATCTGACAAATAGTGGTGTACAATTAAAATTCTAATTCACTGAATGAATGAATGAACATCTCTTTTCTGTGAGGGTTCAGCTATTAGTTGAGACTCTAGATTTTTAATTTAGGCTTGGGTGAAAGGTTAACATCTCAATGGCCAAGTTTCTAATCCTTGGCCACAGGATCCTTAGGGTGTCGCTTCACCAGCCAGAAACCTCTGGCTAGGGGTGCCTTCTGCCTGAGTATTGCTTGCACCTGCTGGGTTTGTTCTGTACACTCAGCCTGGCAGGCTGCACTCGGCTTGTGCTACTGGCCTGGATCCCACAGCTGCCATGGGCCAGTCAGGTGCAAAGAGGCAAGGGGTCTGTGGGAAAGTGAGTTCAGGGTCTGGCCACTGTACACAGCCAGGTGCTGGCATAGGTGCTGGCTCCATGCAAGCCTGTGGTGGCCCAGATGCACCACACATGGCTTCTGCTGCGGGTACCTGTGACTGGATGAGGGGAATGTGGTGCCACCTGGAAATCTGGAGATGCCAGGAACCATAGAGCCTGAAAAAAGGTGTCAAAGCCCTAGCTCCAGAAGCCCCTAGGTCCAGGCTCTCCAAAGGCCTGTAGCGCTTTTCTCCATCTCGTTGCCTGCAACATGGTGAGGTGGGGGTGGGGTGTTCAGCTCTGTTTGTGTTAGAGCTCTTTCAGTCCCATCATTTGGCAGGTCCTGAGTTATTGTCCTGCATTCAGGAAGAATGGGGTACACAGACAGCTGGAGGGTGAGCAAGGTAGAGAGGAGCTCCACTGAGTGGCGGAACAACTCTCAGGAGACCTGGAGTGGCTAGCTCCTTTCCGCAGGCAGGTCATCCTGATGATTGTCCAGTTCTCAGTGGAGAGGAGGCCTGAAGTGGGTAGCTCTCTTCTGCAGGCAGGTTGTCCTGAGTGGAGGAGACCTGAAGTGGATAGCTCCTTCCTGCACTCGGTAGTCCTGACTTCTGTTAAGTCTGGCTGTGTCTGGGCTTTTTATGGGCTCAGAAGGGAGGAAGTGCGTATTGATTGGTCCATGAAGTGGAATTCCACCACAGACCCGCCCCTCTCTGTTGAGGAGCTTGTCTATCTCCAGCTACCATCAACATCATCACAATGTCATAGTGCCCAGGCTGTTGGTGCTTAGGGTGCCTGTGGGCTCTTGCTTAGCCTCCCTAACCCTCACTCAGTTTCCCTCCAATGCTCATCAGTACCCAAAGTCTGGAGGGAGCTGAGGTGGCAGGGGGCTGGCCTGTCATTGCCATCAGGGGTGTGTGCACACCTAGTCAGGTAGCAACAACATCTGGGCTCAACCACAACTTTGATCCACCAGGAGCAGGTGCTGGTACTAGGGAGAGGCCAGGGAGTGGGAACAGGTACTTCTGAGCTTGTTGGGGCAGGGGCATTTCCTGAGCCCCCAAAAGTGCAAGGATGCCCAGACCTGGAGTGTTGGCTGTGTGCTGCAGTTGCTCTCAGGAGTGTGGGGCTCCCATCCCCCAACTCAGTAAGGGGCAGAGCTCCCCCTGGCTCCATGGAATCTGTGCCCTAGCTGCACCTGCCATGCTGCAGCCGGAGTCTTTGCAGCAACCACTCCAGATGGGCCACCGCTGCCATCAGTGACAGTAAAACAGATTACACATTATTCTTTTCGGTAAAATTGCTTTCCTTTTGCCTGCCTTGGTAAAAAGCTTTTCACACTTGAAAACAGCATATATAGGAAAACAGCCAGTTCTATCAAGGTTTTCTCAAAATAAGAAGAAATAATCTAATTCTGAACTTGTGTTAGCTAATTGCTGAGGTTGGCGTATCATTGAAAAGTCATACTTTGCCCTTTTGTTTAGGTGCTGCAATAGCTATGTTTGTATGTTATTGTGCAGACACATGTTTTTGCTAATCACTGAGAGCCACCGCTAAGCAGCTGTCAATGGAAAATGTAGAGCAGTCAAATCACATCAATAAGCATAGCTAACAGCAATTGCAGAGAGAGATGCCACAGGCTTCATGTGGTCTGGCCTATTTCAGCCCCTTTTGTGTTTTTGGCTTAAAAACATTTATTGTAATCATTTTGCTATTGGTAAGTATTTCAGGAGTCTTGGAAAAATAGAATAACTTTTTTCTTTCTTATAACTTATATATTTAGTGCAAAGAGCATGAGCTTTGGCGTCAGGCAGTCCTGGGTTTAAATTCTACTTCGAGATTTTGTAACATTGAGAACATTGCTATCCTTTAGGAGGCCTGCTCTTTTATTACATGGTTATCCAGTTTGAAATAAATAACATGTTCCAAATAACCAAAAAATAATAGAAGCTTGATAAAGGTCAGTTTCTCACTCAACACAACATCCCTTGATTTTTTACTTTCTTTTCTTTACCTAAACTCATTTACCTTGTTTTTCTGTTCTGTGGGGCCCTTGGTGACTTTCTTTAATTTCTAAGGTATTGGAAATTAAAGAAATTAATTTTTTCCTTGAATATTGGCTTACAGATTATCCATAATTTTATAACTTAGGGACATTTAAATCTTCTTTAAACATATTAGTAACTAGTAAAAAATACTATTTCTCTTTTTTTACTGATGGTCTGTTTTGATTGACTAAAAACTTTAGGATCCTTCTTTAATATGCTTTATGGCCATAGTTAATCAATTTCTAGTTGAATATTGTAAGCTTAGGTTAACTAGGTGACCTGGGATATTCTTGATTTAATATAATGGGAGGGAGATAAATGGGAGAGAGATGGATGGGCAATTATAATGGAGTCTAGTACAAAGATCATGGGATCTGTCGTCAAATCCTGGGTTAAAACCCTCTTTTGCTCATGTAAACTTCAATAGATCATTGAAAATCCCCCAAACTGAGTTTCTTTATAAAACTGGATACTTTGCATACGATTTTACAAAAGAATGCATCCAGTCATTTGATATTCACAAAAACGTTACCAAAATCTTGTAACATTACCAATTAATGTTCACTTGGTAATGTTTTTGTGAATATCAAATGAAATAATGCAGTTTATATTCAGAGGTAAGGCATTCTAAATACTGTGATTTACTTTTTTCACAACAGAAGGTAAAGTGTAGGTAAAGCCCAATTTAGGGCTTTTTGTTGCACATGCAAAGGAGAATCTGATTATGTATCTGGGAAAAAACAAAAAATAGACAGAGGGCGGAGGAAAGGGAAAGAAAGAAAGCAGCATTTTTTCAATTCTTAAAATTTCCTGGGTCATATATATTCTAACTCATGCTAATCTGGTAGGTGCTTGGAGGGAAGGAGATGACTTTGAGTGCATCCTTCATCATCACAGTGTCCGGAATTCCTGGATGCCTACTGGAGTACATTGATTCAGCTTTTTCTGAAGCAGGCATTCCAAGCAAGAAAGAGGCTCTGTCCCACCCCTTACCCTTAGGCCTGATCTTGTGTCTACTGAGCTGCTGGGATTTGACATGAAGATCGATAAGCTGGTCCCAAAGATTTGTTTTTTTTTCTGAGATGGGGTCTTGCTGTATTGCCCAGGCTGGTCTCAAACTCCTGGACTCCAGTGATCTGCCTGCCTCAGACTTTCAGTATTCCAGGCATGAGCCACTGTGACCTGCTTCTACAAAGCTTTTAAGTGATAGGAACAGAGCCCACTTTTAGCCCCATCCCAAGTGGCCCTGGGGAAATAATGGAATTGACTGGGCAGCCATTTGCATAATCAGGTTCTATTCACTGTGATATCACTCCTTGAATTCTCCTACTCTGGTTACCATTCAGCATTGGTAATTGGGGTAGATGAGATGGGGTAGGTATCTTAGAATGAAAGAAACCCAGAAAACCAAAAGGATGATAGGTGACTAATACCCAAGCCCTCTGCTTACCTTCAACAACAATTCACTCATCCTCTCTCAGCTGATAAATTTGCTTTCCATTCCACTGAGCAAACTGTGGCAAGGAGAAGAGAAGGTCTACAAGTTCCCATGCCACATCTATCCACCAACAAGCATCCATACCCTTAGTCTCACTTTCCTCTTACTGTAGATGAGGTGTTCGTATTCCTAGTAAGGACAACCCCTTCAATTGTTTGTTAGATTCCAGCCTTCTCACATTCTCCGGAATATTGTCCCAGAAATGCTCCTCTCATGCAGCATCAATTTTTTCTCCAGTTGAATTTTCATTAATCTACTTATATGCTATTATTTTAATAATCTCAAATAAACCCTCTCTTTATCCTATTTTTCCCTATAACTACCACTCCATTTCTTTGTTTTTCTCTACTGCAAACCTCCTAAAAAATATAGCATATACACTCTCTACCTCTAGTTCCTTCTTTCTCATTCCCTTTTAAACCACTCAAATTATGTTTTTGTTTTTATCATTTTAGTGAAGGTGCTCTTGTCAATGATGATTTCAAATTACTAAATCCAAAGGTCAAATTCTCAATCCTCATTTTATTTGTCCTTTCAGCAGGATTCAACCTGATAAATCACATATTTCCTTTCTTTTTAAAGTGCTGTTTTCACTGGAATTTCAAGACACCACTCTCTTTTGGTTTTCATCATCCTTATTGACATTTCCTCAGTCTTTAATTATTCCACTCTCCCTCCCTCATTTTCATATTAGAGTGTCCCTGGGCTCAGTACATGGTTTTCTTCTTTTCTCTGCTTACACTCATTTCCTTGGTAATCTTATTAAATCTCTTGGTTTTAACTCCTAATAACACATTAATAATTATCAATATGGATCTTTCTCATGAAATCCAGACACATACATGCAACTGCTCTCTTGACATCTCCCCTTGGAGTTTCATGGGTACATTTATCATGTCCAGAAGTGGGTCTCTGAACTTTACCTGCTTTTCTTTTTCCTTCCTCCTTTTAGCTTACATCAAATCAATTTTTCCTTAGAGTCATCCATGCTTCTTTCCTTCTCACTCCATAAAAAAGTTTGAATAGATTTACCCTCACAATATAACCAGAATCTACCACATCTTTTCACTTCTGCAGTTGCTGGTCCAAGTCATCATTTGTTACCAGAATTGCTACAGTGGACTCCTAACTGGTTATCTATTTCTACTCTTGTCCCCTTCAGTCTATTGTTAACACAGTACCCAGAGTCATCCTGTTAAATCATAATGCAGATGATGTCAACAACTTCTTATCTCAAATAGAACCAAAGACAAAGTTCTTTTAAGGTCTACAAGGCCTACATGGTGGGTCCTCCATTGCTTCTGGACAGACTTCCATCATATTTTCCCCTTGCTTCATTTGCTCTTACTATAATGGACTTCTTGCTGTTCTTTAGCATGCCAAACACATACTCATATGAGGATTTTGCACTTCTTTTCCAAATTGTGCCTTAGCTTGTGCTACCCAGAAATGGAGGCAGAGAGCTTATGTGATATTTTCAGAGAGTAATCCCAGGGCACAGGTGAGAAGGGCAAGAAGAGTGATGCAGGGAAGGAGGAAGAACCAGGGCAAGGACAATTGAACTTGCTTCAATCAGTTAGCTGTTCAGTTCACTGGACTACACTTTTGAACAAACTTGAGTATTCCTGGGGAACACAAAGGGAGGATGATTTATTCAGATGGTCTTCTCTTGCATTAGCTGAAGTTCATCCATGTGGGCATTAATTTGCATGCACTTTGAACTTGCACATGTGTGGGTTTAAGTGCCCACAAATCTATAGTAGTATCAACAAGAAGCCCTGAAGCAGAAGAAAAGAAGTGAAATCAATCAGAGCCCACATAGAACTGGAAGAAGACATAGATGAGGCCATCAGGATCTCAGAGATATATAAGAGATGTTGGATAAACTCTGCCTGGAGTGTTCTTCTCCAGGTGTTGGTATAGCTCACTTTAGCTCTGAACAAAGGGTATTCTTTGCTCAAATGTCGTCTTCTAATGGAGACCTTTTCTCACCTTCCCTTTTAAAATTGTACTTCCCTATCCCCTCTAACTGCTTTATTTTTCCCATGTCACTTTCTAATATGGCATAAATCTACTTATTTTGTTTATTGCCAGTCTCCTTCACTAAACTTGAAGCTGCAGGAGAGCTGTGATTTTGCTGTGCTTTATTCATTGTTGTATCCTCAGCCTATCACATAAATAAAAACATTCAATAAGTATTTTGTTAGTGAACTATTTATAGAAATTATTGTAACTGGGGTGGTGAGCTTTTGTGATAAGCTTTGAATTAGATATATGGAACATGTTAATCAATGCATAGATTGTGTGTTTCTTTTGTCAAATAATCAAATATCCTAGCATTAAAAGATAGGGTGGAGTATTTCTTAGGTGGATTCTAAATCAAACTATTGAATGAGAAGATACATTAATGTTCACGGATCCACAAGACATTTGTTTACACAGCTTCTTTATTTCTCTAAGTTGCCTTACATTGATTGGTTACATTAAGTCTCTGAAAATAACCACAAGGGTTGGCAACACACTTATTATTTGTTCTGCCCTCTGTTGGATGTTAACAGTGGGTCCCTGTGAATTAGACAGTGATAGCAGAAGGCTTATTAACAGTACTTTCTGAGCAAAATGGCATGTGGAAACAAGAAGGTGAAATGAAAAAAAATGAGTAAAATTAGATACACGATGAGAACCATAAATTATGATATGTTGTTAAAAATAGTCATTATTGATCTTCTTTAACTATTCTAATGCTTCTTGAAGCAGCAATGTTCTCTGCAAGTATAATTGAAGGGAAGGGAAGCCAAATAGTAGCAATGGCACAGCTATTTTATAATTTTTCTTCTAATCATTGACATTATTTTCTTCATGGGCCATAATAGAGTACTGATGAGTCATTGATCTAGACATACCCACGTCCTGGTTCAACAGTTGATTAGCTTGTATAGACTTCGTCAGGTTATTGAACTTATCTAAGTCTTGATTTCTTTATTTGTAACATAGAGATGATAATATTCAGGTGTAAAGGGTAAATTTTTGATAAATAAATAAGAAAATATAAGGAGAACACAAATACATAAAATATGTGTGATAAACTGCCTGGAGTTTAGGTCCTCTAGTGTTAAGTGTTAATGTTTATCAGAAAACAGCATTGTAAAATGGCAAGAAAAGCCTGAAGTGAGAAAGAATAATTTAGATATAATGCTAATAAGACTTTTTAAATAAAAATAATAAATCTATCTAATGATTTCAATTTTATTGATATTAAAGATAAAAAGCATTATGACAGGCTAAGCTTTGAATGTCACTATGTTTAAGAGTTATGCAAATAGAACATATCAGGTGACATATTTGGCCTCCAGGATTTTGGTGTTGCCTTAGCACTTGTATAATTTAGAGAAACTCTCATGTCTCCACAAAGCTAGCGTCCTAGCAGTCTAGAATTCCTCATTAAGCAGTAGAAACATGATTGAACTCAGTTCACAAAGAAAATTGGTTAACCAGATGTGCCAATTATCTGTTTATTGCCTCAGCTCCAAATTCATATTTCATTGCCTGCCTTGTGATAATACAGACTTTAAATAGATTTTCTTTGTTATCTGGCTCAATGTTAAGCTTTACCAGTGGGAGACTTAGAGGGAGTTTAGAGGAAAAAAAAAAAGTGTCATTTTCTTCCTGGTCCCAGTTTGTTTGTTCTGCCAGGATCCTGCGGCGTGGTTTTTCTAGTGTTGGGCTTCTCAATGCCCAGCTCCTGCAGCGCATGGTGCCCAGAAGCACTCATTGACCAATAGCTGCCCACAAGGAGCCCCTTAGATGTTTTTGCAGTAAAGCACCCCTGAAGGGGCACATCCCTGTGCAGTTTCCCCTGAACCCTCCTGTGCACACTGCAACAAATTCTGAGACATGACCTTTCCCTCTGGATGGCTTTCTTTAGAGAGCAGATTGCCATCAAGTGCCAATGGCACAGCATCTCAGTACCTTTTCTGACATCCAGTGAGCCGATGTTTTGCCCTCCCCAATGAAGTATGAATCTCAACCCTGTGGGAAGTTCTTACTTGATGCTCTATTTAAGCCCTAAGGGTGGGGATTGCTCCTTATTTCTGCTGTTCTTATATTCCTTATAGTTCTCCTTACTTCATGCTAGCCAGTATTCTATTTCTTCCATCCTCCGTTATAGTTAATAATTATATATTAAACTTTTCCTGTTCAAATTAGTGTGGTTTTTGTCTCCTGTTTGTTTCTAATGGAAATGTCAGAGTCTCTCTGATGCTATCTGAGACAATGAGATAGCAAACATGTTCTATTTACATGTAATTCTTTAAATTTGTTAACACAGGGTTCATTCTGTTATATCTCTTGAAGTGCAATGTTTTGAAAAATGTTAAAATTTATTTAAAAAAGGATTATTGATCATATAATCCTTCTACCTGAGAAGAGGTCTACAGAAAAATGTAATGAAGAGAAGTTGTAGAAAAAATAGACTATTTGAGCAGAGTATACTAAACCATTATTTTTTAAAGTTACATAAAAATGTGAGAATATTTCTGAAGTCCAGGCTTTGTATTTCTTTATTATATTGTCAGCATTATAAGAAAAATATTTCAAATGAGTTTTTACATACTAACAATTTAAATTCTGTTTCATGATATTTTGATTATTAACTTCGCTGAACAACTAACCTACTGAATTGTAGAAGGATCTATCAAAAGAAAGATGGATGATACATATATTATTTTATAACACATGGTGAATATTTCAGCATTTCTTTCTGATATATACCAATTTTTAGTGGGCTGAACAGTATCCCCCAAAATCCATTCATACTCTGAATCTCCGAATGTGACCTGGTATGGAAATACAGTAGTTTCCCCTTACCCACTGGAGATACATTCTAAGACACCCAATGGATGCCTGAAACCATGAATAGTACTGAACACTATATATACTATGTACAAATTTATTTTTCCTTTTTTATAATAATTGCATAGACAGGAGATGCATTCTTGCTGTAGATCTTAGTAAGCTCGTCAGACAACTTATCTTTCTTTTTTTAAAATTATACTTCAAGTTTTGGGGTACATGTGCAGACATGCAGGTTTGTTACATAGGTATACACATGTCCTGGTGCTTTGCTGCACCCATCAACCCATCAACCCATCATTTACATTAGGTATTTCTCCTAATACTATCCTTCCCCTAACCCCTGCCCCTGATATGCCCCAATGTGTGATGTTCCTCTCCCTGTGTCCATGTGTTCTCATTGTTCAACTCCCACTTATGAGTGAGAACATGCAGTATTTGTTTTTCTGATCTTGAGTCAGTTTGCTGAGAATGATGGTTTCCAGCTTCATCCATGTCCCTGCAAAGAACATGAATCCATCCATTTTTTATGGCTGCATAGTATACCATGGTGTGTATGTACCATATTTTCTTTATCCACTCTATCATTGATGGGCATTCGGGTTGGTTCCAAGTCTTTGCTATTGTGAACGGTGTTGCAGTAAATGTGTGCATGTGTCTTTATAGTAGAATAATTTATAATCCTTTGGGTATATACCCAGTAATGGGATTGCTAAGTCAAATGGTATCTCTATTTCTAGATCCTTGAGGAATTGCCACACTGTCTTTCACAATGGTTGAACTGATTTACACTCCCACCAGCAGTGTAAAAGCGTTGCTATTTCTCCACATCCTCTCCAGCATCTGTTGTTTCCTGACTTTCTTTTTTTATTACATTTTAGGTTTTGGGGTACATGTGAAGAACATGCAAGATTGTTGCATAGGTATACACATGGCAGTGTGATTTGCTGCCTTCCTCCCCCTCACCTATATCTGGCATTTCTCCCCATGCCATCCCCCCCCAACTCCCCACCCCCTCTGTCCCTCCCCTATTTCCCTCCAACAGACCCCAGTGTGTAGCACTCCCCTCCCTGTGTCCATGTGTTCTCATTGTTCAACACCAGCCTGTGAGTGAGAACATGTGGTGTTTGATTTTCTGCTCCTGTGTCAGTTTGCTGAGAATGATGGCTTCCAGCCTCATCCATGTCCCTACAAAGGACACAAACTCATCATTTTTGATGGCTGTGTAATATTCCATGGTGTATATGTGCCACATTTTCCCTGTCCAGTCTATCATCGATGGGCATTTGGGTTGGTTCCAGGTCTTTGCTATTGTAAACTGTGCTGCCATGAACATTCGTGTGCATGTGTCCTTATAGTAGAACGATTTATAATCCTTTGGATATATACCCAGTAATGGGATTGCTGGGTCAAACGGAATTTCTATTTCTAGGTCCTTGAGGAATTGTCACACTGTCTTCCACAATGGTTGAACTAATTTACACTCCCACCAACAGTTGGAATGGCGATCATTAAAAAATCTGGAGACAACAGATGCTGGAGAGGATGTGGAGAAATAGAAACACTTTTACACCGTTTCCTGACTTTTTAATGACTACCATTCTAACTGGTGTGAGATGGTATCTCAATTTGGTTTTGATTTGGCATTTCTCTAATGACAAGTGATGATGAGCTTTTTTTTCATGTGTTTGTTGGCTGCCTAAATGTGTTCTTTTGAGAAGTGTCTGTTGATATCCTTCATCCACTTTTTGATGGGGTTGTTTGTTTCTTATCTTGTAGATTTGTTTAAGTTCTTTGTAGATTCTGGATATTAGCCCTTTGTCAGATGGATTGCAAAATTTTTCCCTCATTCTGTAAGTTGCCTGTTCACTCTGATAATAGTTTCTTTTGCTGCACAGAAGCCTTTTAGTTTAATTAGATTCCATTTGTCAAT